TTTTTTTTGTATCAAAATTATCACTTAATAAAACTAAGACAATCAATTCCAATGTCCAAAGTAGTAGGAAAAAAATTAGTTACCTTTTAAAACTTAAATTTTGCACTACTTTTACGCTTCCGAATCACTTTACTCATTGTAAGAGCGACTTCTTTTTTGGTTTGTGTTCTTAAAAATGCGTTACATCAAACAATAACGTGTATGATTATCGCGGAACATAAATTCTTACTGTTTCTAGGTGCGGTGCTGCTATTCGTTTTATTTATTTCACGTTTCCGCTGTCAGATAACTTAAAAACTCAGGTGGTCCACTCAAAGTGGCGGTCCACTCAATGTGACATTACCCTACTCTATACTAAAGTTTTACGTATTATCATGTTTATGAATAAAATAAAATAAATTTAACGTCGCATCAAAACGCATAATTTTTTTTCATCGCACAATTTTTGAATTATCGCATAATTGTGCATAATTATATTTTTTGTGCAAGAAATATAAAAATATTTCACAGTCTAAATCTGCATTAACGAAATATCTGTTTATAAATACATTTTATCATAAATTTATGAATAAAATTAATCATCCATAATTAAAAGGGCAATCCTAGTTGTAATTTTCAAAAAACCGGTTTTTCTTTTCTTGTATTTTTTCTAAGTTTACCCACACAACACCGAAAATTTCCTAAATATTTACTAAAAATTTACTTGCAAGCTTAGAAGTATTTACTTGCAAAGTTTAGTGAAAATTCTGCAAAGATTTAAATGTCCCACTTCAATAAATGTTGAGCTAACTTTGCAAGTAAATTCTTCGAAGTTTGCAAGTAAATCTTTAATAAATTTTTAGGAAAGTTTCGGTACTGTGTGGGTAGGGTCTCAGACATATGTTTGTAAAATAATAAGTTGATATTTTAAAAATTGAGTGAGATATAAAGCTTTAAAGATCTGAAGTAAGGTTCAGTTAAGTCCGGCTTCCTGTAGCCCGCAACAAAATTTCGTCTAATGAAAGAGTATGATAAAATTTTAAACTCGTTTTTCTTAAAACAGCATTTTGAAAATCGGTGATCGCACTATTTCTCAAAAACTACTGCACTGAATCTCCGATTTTTCTTGAGTTTAGTGGGCTTTTTTAATACATAAAAATCTACTCCTCACCTCAATAGAATGATTTCTTTTTTTAAGAAAGGGGTCGTCCATAAAGCATGTGATATTTGAAGGAGTAGGGGGGTCCATAAAATATCATGCTTCATATTAATCATTATTGAAAAAAGTATCAAGATGGGGGGGATAAAATTTCGGAAATTAAGTATGCTTTATGGATGACCCCAAACAATATCTTTTTACAGCTGAGAACCCACAGCATTTTTTTATCTTTTACTTTAACTAAATTCGTTTGAATTTTGTATTTCTGAGAAACCAGCTCCTTGTTACCGTGGTCATCGCAAAACATATTTCTTATGATGACCTTTACTCTATATTTATAGAGCATAAGTTGCTTTATTTAAAAATGTTGGTGGTTTTTTTTCTTAAAAAAAATTAACATAATGTTAAAAGCTTTATTTGGATCCTTAATAACGTTTTTCTTTCAAAAGCATCAATTTGCACTTTTTAATTTTTCAACGCATAATTTCGCATAATAATCAGTTTTTCAGGGCATAATCCAGTAATTTTCAGCGTCATAAAATACTGTCCTTAAAAATAAGTATTTGTATTTGAAAGTACTAGTATCTCTGTATCTAGTAATATTTTCACGGAGTATTTCAAAAATATTTAAATTATTTATATTTTTTATTGTTAATTAAAGATTTTTGAACCCTTTTAATAAAATAATTTTAACTAATTGAGTTTTTGAAAAAATTGAACAAAAATTTATGGTTATATCAGTGAGTTAATGTACTTTCGAATAATAAAATAAAAATTTGAAAAAATTATTTTTTTTTATTTTTTAATAATTTTTTTATAAACAAATCCAGTTTTAAGTGCTTTCTACACGCGATTAAAAAAAATTTTTGTTTGCTAAATGTTCTTTAGAATGTAGGTAAACAAGAACTGAAAAGAAATCTTAGTGCAAATGAAAAGGTTTTTCATAATTTGACTATTTGTCGAGCGCTGCATACTGCGCGCATGCACCGCACAGTGGAATTTTTTTACAATTTACTGTTCAAAAATTTTCTACAGCCTACAATTTTTAACCGATTTGAGTGTTCTTTGTTTTAAATTAAAGGAAAATAAATTCTTAAGACATCCCTCGAGGCCGATGTTTGAGTTATTAATTGTTTATAATTTTTTGTTTTAAACAAATTAATACAATTTTTTTTAAAAAGGACGTTTATTTTCTTATTCCGTTATTGCACATGATTTAAATCAGTTCAAATTAGTCTAGTATGACCACCAGACAATTAATAAAACATAAAATAATTTATTTCAATTGTTATAAACAATATTAATTAACAAATAGATAACTTTGATTCCTTTCCACTAAAAAAGGTTTTTTTACACATTTTTTAAAATTTAAGTTCATTACAAGAATATATGTCCTTTTCGTTTAAAAGTAAGTTATTTAAATTGTTATAAACAATATTAATTAACAAAAAGATAACTTTGATTTTTCTTCACTAAAAATTTGTTTTATGCTTACTTTTTTATTTAAGTTCATTTAAAGAATATATGTCCTTCTTGTTTAAAAAAATTTATTTAAATTGTTATAAACATTATTAATTAAGAAATAGTTAACTTTTGTTCCTCTCCAACAAAAAATGTTTTTCATGTTTACTTTTTTTATTTAGGTTCATTTAAAGAATATATATGCTTCTTGCTTAAAAAAACTTATTTAAATTGTTATAAACATTATTAATTAAGAAATAGTTAACTTTTGTTCCTCTCCACCAAAAAATTTTTTTCACGTTTACTTTTTTAATTTAGGTTTATTTGATTAATATAGGAATGTAAGTATATATGTACTTAGTTTAATTTCACAGACTATTTGAAATAAGTAGTTACACTTACATTCTTATATTTTTTAGATGAACCTAAACAAAAAAGTACGGGTGAAAAAAAAATTTTTTGTGAAGAGGATCAAAAGTTAACTATTTGTTAATTAATAATGTTTATAACAATTTAAATAAGTTATTTTTTAAACAAGGGAAGGACATATTTTCTTTAAATAAACCTAAATAAAAAATTATTCATAAAAAAACATTTTTAGTGGAGAGGAATTAAAGTTAACTATCTGTTAATTAATATTGTTTATAGCAATTTAAATAAATTATTTTATGTTTTATTAATTGTCTGGTGGTCATTATAGAATAATTTGAACTGATTTAAATCATGTGCAATAACGGAATAAGAAAATAAACGTCCTTTTTAAAAAAATTGTATGTCTCGGAAAATTTTTAAACTCACAGAGCACCTAGTTGTAAGTATATATACTATCACCACAAAAAAATTAACTAGGGTAAGTGTGTCAATTGTGGCGGGTGCTCCAATTATGGCGACTTTGTGAAAAATAGAATTATTTACTATTTTAGAATAAAATAGTTATTTGAAAATGATAGAAAAAGTTATTTTTGATCTTACTCGATATAATTGTACGAAAAAAAACACATTTGAACTATTATTGGTTTAATTATTTAAGTACAAAAATTGTGCCCCGCCATAATTGGCACATTTTCATTGAATGTGCGTGCTCCAGTTATGGCGCGCAACACAACCTCTAAATACACGATATTTTCCCCGCCGTAATTGGCGCGCCGAAATTGACTCAACCGCGCCATAATTGACGTTTTTAATCCTAATTCTTATTGCTTTAATTTTGTTTAAATAATTAATTTTTATAAAGTTTTTATAAAAGTTTTATTATCTATATGACACGGGCTTTTAGTTTAATAAGCCATAAATTTACTTCTTTCATTATAATTTTTGAATTTTCTATTTCAAAGACGGCTAAACCAGAACCGCGCCATAATTGTCACACTTACCCTATAAAAGAAATGATGATTTTCCAAAAATCGAAAATAAAATTTTTTTTTCTTAATATCAACAAAGTATTGAATAAATTTTCTTTCAAAAATTTTTCAATAGAAAGTGCGTCTTTTTATAAACAATTTGAAAAAAATTGATCTCAATATATTTACCAATAAAAAGTTATGCGGTTTCCCAGAAAAAATGCTAAAAGATTCCAAAGGTGTATTTTTTGCATATTGTGTCAATCAATCGTTTTGAGTTTAAATTCAAGCTATTTAAAGTTTCACTAAAAAATTCAAGTAATTAAAAAAATAACTTAGTTTTTACAACATGTAGTACATCCTTTTATATTAATAATGTTTTTGTTAAGGGGACTTTCTGGTGCAGAATTGGTAATAACACACTTTTTTAATCTCTTATTGTAAAAAATGTATTATGCGAATTGCAAAAATTCCTTTTAAATATTGTCACGTATTACAAAATTTGTTAAGTTTTTTAATTCATTTTCGCAACTGTGGGTAGCGTTAGAGGTTTGTAGTGTAGTTTTTTTAGATAAAGAATCAAATAATTTTTTGTTTTTTTAAGTCGGTTCAGTAGATTTTGAGAAAAGTGTCTCCCCGTTTTCAAAAATGCATTTTTGAGTGTAAAGAAATAGTCATAAAATTGCTGTAACTATTTTTCTTTTGCATATTTTTTCTAAAATGTTTTGGGACAGTAATTTTATGATACTAAGGAACATTTTATGCAATTGAAAAGAGAAACCATTTCCTTCTAAAACAATAATTTTACTAGACTAGTAAGCTGAAAGTGTCTTTCAACTCATAATCTATCGGGTTTCCTTTATAATGAGTTGTAATGTATCATGAAAATTTTATCATTTATCATCTGGAAATTCTGGAGTTTCATAAGGAGTATTTTGTAAAAACCCTGATCTTTATTATTTACAATGAACTCTACAAGATCAATAATTTTTAAATGAAAATAAAATTAAGAAAATTGCTTAAAATGGAATAAGAGTGTGGTTATAGAAAAGAATACTAACTTTTCAAGTCGTCTGGAATAAGGAGATACAGAGGAAGGATGACCACAACTTGCAACAACATTTCCAAATGTAGCCGCGCGACGATGTATTCTTTTAGTCCAAGTACTCATTTTTGTAATAGAAGATGAGCGTAGAATTTTTCTTAATACGATTTACTATTACTTTATATTACATTCTTATAATCAAGTATGTATTCGATATATACACACTTTTTTAAAAAAACTTTATATTTCTTCCTTAATTAGAATTTATTTGGTCTCTTCTAGATATTAAATTTAACATAATGTGCTTTTGTTTTGCAGACAGTCTTATAAGTGTTGGAATTTCTTTTTATCACATTAAAAAGAATTCAAAACTATTAAGTAATTCCTTAACCTAGGTTAGTGAACGGGAGCGGTCAGTCATGCCCATTCATCTATAGGTTCAATATTCGAAGTAAACTTAACCTAATAACAACGAAATTCCCTTCAGCATCCATTCTAAGTAATAATCAACTATAATTTATACACATCCTTATTGTTCTTTGCTAATGTCTATAAATAAAATTATATTGAAACATAAAACTTTTTCATAAATAGTGAAGGATATAAGGTTTGTCTAATTTTCACGCTCTATTGAATGTTTTTTAAATTTTGCTTTCCTTTTCTAAAAAAAACAGTATAAAAACACCCCAGTGACATGAGTTGAAAATTGGACAACTGTTGGCTGACCATTCCCACCGACGGCGCTGACTGTATACTGCTGTTACGAGCCGAGTTACCTTTTATTACGCAACTCTAATGCTGATTCCACACTTACCCAGTCGCTCCGCTTTTCCGTGGCGCTTCGCGTGAGACAGAAAAAGATAGAGATAGTCTCTGTCTTTTTCTATCTCACGCAAAGCGCCACGGAAAAGCGGAGCGCTGGGTAAGTGTGGAATCAGCATGACAATGGCATTTGATTGGTCGGATTCTCATTAGTTGTGACGAGCGACTATTATCTTGCTCGAATCACACTTCGAGATTAATCGAATCGCGATTGTACGTCGCGGTGAAATCAAAATTATTAAAATAAAGTATTCGAATTCATATTTCAATAAATATAAACCTGAGACTGAGAATGGCAAAGGAATAGTATAATAAAGTACCTAAACATATTTTAATGCTTTAGCGGATGTTATTTCAAACATTCTAAAGAATGAGTAATTGTACTTTAAGAAACTCAAAATATTTCTAAAACATCATAAAGATAATCTGGATTAAGAAACAGATGTTTTAATAAAATCTAAACTCTTCCATTTCCTTCCAAACCAATCTGTTTTTCTAACACTAGGTACAATTGTAAAATACCCAAAAAGTATACTCCTTTAAGGACGCTGCACGGTGGGAAATATTTAAAAGTACGCATAGGCGTAGCGAGCGATTTCTCCTCACCTTCCACTCTTTTCCCCTCGTTTCACCTGTCTTGGTGCAATTTTTTGACTTTGATAATTAATTAAAAAAAATCCAGATTGAAAATGAAAAGAAGGGCGATTTAAGGAAAAATAATATTTAATAGTGAATATAAAACAAGTTTTCTTATGACGATTAGATGTTTCTATAGGCGTGAATATCAATCCGCGTTTTACAAAACATAGCAAACTGACAGCTCAATATGGGAGGTTAGTCATGGCCGACTATATCAGGCTGCACCGTTTGCGTAGTACAGTAGGAATGAACGTGAGGAACAAAAATATTAAATATCAATTACTCTTATTGTTTTCTATTATATTTATTATTTGTTTATTTATTTATTATTGTTATTATATCTATTATTATTTATTATTATACTTACTTTTTAAAACTATTTTTATGAAAAAGTATTAAAACAATAAAGGAAAATTTTTTATGAAAATATTATTAAACAAATAAAATTACTAAACAAAAAAAAGTAAATAATAAAAAATTATGAAATGTATAATTTTTTAAATTATATTAGTTATACAAATTTTTTTAAACAAAATTATTTCAAATACCAAGATTAACTTTTTTTATAGACAATTTGAAAATTAATACACTGGGAATAATATTGACACATTCAGAAAAAATAAATTTTAATGGATAATTTTTTTTTTATTATTTATCAACTATAGTTTATTTCTAAAAAAAATTATACATTTCATAATTTTTTATTATTTACTCTTTTTTGTTTAGAAATTTTATTTGTTTAATAATTTTTTCATAAAAAATTTTCCTTTTATTGTTTTAATAATTGTCCATAATAATATTTTTAAAAAGTAAGTATAATAATAAATAATAATAGATATAATAACAATAATAAATAAATAAAAAATAATAAATATAATAGTAAACAATAACAGGGTTCCTACAGAATCTGGAAATCATGGAAATGGTATGGAATTTTTAAAAGGCTTCTGGAAATCAGGGAAATAATGGAAAAGGCCTGGAACTTTTAAAAGTTTCTAAATTTTTTCTGTTTTCTATTTTTTCTCTTGAATAGAAATTCAAATAATAACAAAGCTAAATGGCATAAAAGAGAAGAAAAAATATTGAATTTTAAGAAATTCGATTTTTCGGATTTTTGATAATTTTATATATAATTTTAGATTTTTTACCAAAGAGTCGAGACTATTAAATAAGTAAAGTATTTTCCAAGAGCCCAAAAATAATGAAGCTAAATCCCATAAAAGAGAGGAAAAAATGTTGAATTTTAAGAAATTTGGTTTTTTGATAATTTTAGATTTTTTACCAAAGAGTCGAGACTATTTAATAAGTAAAGTATTTTCCAAGAGCCCAAAAATAATGAAGCTAAATGCCATAAAAGAGGAGAAAAAATGTTAAAATTTAAGAAATTCGGATTTTTGATAATTTTCTATAATTTTAGATTTTTTACCAAAGAGTCGAGACTATTAAAAAAGTAAAGTATTTTCCAAAAGCAAAAAAATAATGAAGCTAAATCCCATAAAAGAGAAGAAAAAATGTTGAATTTTAAGAAATTTGGTTTTTTGATAATTTTAGATTTTTTACCAAAGAGTCGAGACTATTTAACAAGTAAAGTATTTTCCAAAAGCCCAAAAATAATGAAGCTAAATGCCATAAAAGAGAGGAAAAAATGTTGAATTTTAAGAAATTCGGATTTTTGAATTTTTGATAATTTTCGATAATTTTAGATTTTTTACCAAAGAGTCGAGACTATTATATAAGTAAAGTATTTTCCAAGAGCCCAAAAATACACGGAAAAAAAAAGTTCACGAATCTCTCGTGAACTAGTATATCACTTTTAGATGGGACACAAAATTCTTGAAATTCAACAAACACAGTTCGTCAAAATTTCATCAACTCCTTCACTAGAAACATAGTACTGTTTCCGAACTTTTCGTCATCGTTAACGAAAAATTCGTGAACTTTTAAAAAATGCTAAAAACAAGAAAAAATAATTTCCAGACACTACTTTTTTATAGTATTTCACTTTATTTGATAACTTGACGCCTATTACGCATCCAACTACACAGAATACACAATTTTATCGCCATTAAAATTCGTAATTCGCTTCACGGGATTCGAACCTAGTACCTATACCCTATAACATAATATTTCTAACAACTAACCGCCACGGCTAAATCTAGATACACTGTCCTTCGACAAACGAAACGATTAGCTTTGTCTGCTGTAAAACTCAGGACCGTGCAAAGTAGAAAAAGTCCCTTATCGTAACTTTTAATTCATTTTATGAATTATTTGTTTCACAAAGGAAATTAGCAAACAAAAATATTCACTAAGTAATAAAAAACACTGATTCTAAATAATAACTTTCATCAAAGAATTTTCCCGAATGTAAACACCGATGACACCGACTGAATGATGAATGCTTGATCAGCCATATTTGATGCGCATACTACTGACACTCGCGAGTTCACGATTTTTTCGTGAACTTGTACCTCTACTTTTGACGAACTACTCTTCATTAACAGTTCATCAAAAATTCATTAACTTTGTTTCAGTTTTTCGTTGACGTTCGCCATTTCTAATCAAAAGTGAATGAAAATTTTGAAATTTTGTGTCCCATCCAAAAGTGATATAGTTCACGAGAGATTCGTGAACTTTTTTTCCGTGTAATGAAGCTAAATGCCATAAAAGAGAGGAAAAAATGTTGAATTTTAAGAAATTCGGATTTTTGAATTTTTGATAATTTTCGATAATTTTAGATTTTTTACCAAAGAGTCGAGACTATTAAATAAGTAAAGTTTTTTCCAAGAGCCCAAAAATAATGAAGCTAGGCTTCGAAGTGACACACTTTTCCACTTTTTTTGGTCAAGCCTACTTTTTGCTACTTATTTTGTCAAAAAGCTACTAAATGCTACTTTTTCCAAAAAAAATTCTTGAAATTCAACAAACACAGTTCGTCAAAATTTCATCAACTCCTTCACTAGAAACATAGTACTGTTTCCGAACTTTTCGTCATCGTTAACGAAAAATTCGTGAACTTTTAAAAAATGCTAAAAACAAGAGAAAATAATTTCCAGACACTACTTTTTTATAGTATTTCACTTTATTTGATAACTTGACGCCTATTACGCATCCAACTACACAGAATACACAATTTTATCGCCATTAAAATTCGTAATTCGCTTCACGGGATTCGAACCTAGTACCTATACCCTATAACATAATATTTCTAACAACTAACCGCCACGGCTAAATCTAGATACACTGTCCTTCGACAAACGAAACGATTAGCTTTGTCTGCTGTAAAACTCAGGACCGTGCAAAGTAGAAAAAGTCCCTTATCGTAACTTTTAATTCATTTTATGAATTATTTGTTTCACAAAGGAAATTAGCAAACAAAAATATTCACTAAGTAATAAAAAACACTGATTCTAAATAATAACTTTCATCAAAGAATTTTCCCGAATGTAAACACCGATGACACCGACTGAATGATGAATGCTTGATCAGCCATATTTGATGCGCATACTACTGACACTCGCGAGTTCACGATTTTTTCGTGAACTTGTACCTCTACTTTTGACGAACTACTCTTCATTAACAGTTCATCAAAAATTCATTAACTTTGTTTCAGTTTTTCGTTGACGTTCGCCATTTCTAATCAAAAGTGAATGAAAATTTTGAAATTTTGTGTCCCATCCAAAAGTGATATAGTTCACGAGAGATTCGTGAACTTTTTTTCCGTGTAATGAAGCTAAATGCCATAAAAGAGAGGAAAAAATATTGAATTTTAAGAAATTCGGATTTTTGAATTTTTGATAATTTTCGATAATTTTAGATTTTTTACCAAAGAGTCGAGACTATTAAATAAGTAAAGTTTTTTCCAAGAGCCCAAAAATAATGAAGCTAGGCTTCGAAGTGACACACTTTTCCACTTTTTTTGGTCAAGCCTACTTTTTGCTACTTATTTTGTCAAAAAGCTACTAAATGCTACTTTTTCCAAAAAAGGTAAAAAAAATTTACAGAATTCAAGAATTTTAGTTTTTTTGGTGAATTTAGTAGATTTTAAAAAAACCCGCCAAGTGAATTAAATTTATTTTTGGACGCGTGATTATAATATATTATAATAATTACTAATAGTGGATGTTTATTAAATTACAACTTTTTAACGTTTTGAATTTTTCGTATCTAATTTTATTATTCTTTAAGCTTCTTAAAAAAATTAAAAACTAAATTTTTCACTATATAATTTAATAGTAATACCTTTTTTGACTTTATAAAA